GGGGGACAGGCGCCTCGATGGGACTGAGGGGATGGCGGGCTGAGGGGAACGGGCGCCTCGAGGGGAATGAGGGACCGGGCGGTGAGAACAGGGTCTCACCGCGCCGGGTACTGGCGGCGGCGACTCCCCGGCTCCAGGCAGGGCTGGCGGGGGCGGAGGCGGCGGGAGCGTCAGCAGCCTGCGACCGGGGCGGAAGGAGGCGCTGGGCGGGCTCCGCGTGTGAGGAGAGCCGGGCCGGGCCGGGCCGGGCCAGGCCTGGGGAGGTAATGGCTCGGGGCGCGGGAACAGCCGGCGGCTGCCGGGGGGACACGGGCGCTGAGGCGAGGGCGGTCCCGCCCCCCGCGGAGCCGTCACGGGTTAACGCTGCTCTGCCGCAGGCTAATCCCGCCTCTGGCCCCTTCTGGCTCCGTGCTTCTCACCCCCCTCCCGCAGCAAATACCGCGTTAAATCCTTCGGGCCCGGAACAGCCGTGAGGTTCCCGGGTCCGCTGGGACGGGCTGATGCGCTGCCGGGGCGCGGGAGGAGGCTGAGGGGGGCTCTGGCACCGGGGTCACCTGTCGGAGCGCGGGCAGGGAGCGATTCACCAGCCCGGGGGGGCGAGACGGCTGTGTCTGCCTCCTCCTCCTCTTCGGGAGGTTCCCCTGCCCCCATGCCAAGCTGCCAGGCTGCAGGAGGGGGAAGAGGCAGCCTGCCAGGTTCTTGTGGCAGCTGGTCAGGGGAGGGAGAGGTGTACCTGGGCTGCGGTTGAAGGGAGCACACAGTTATGTCAGTGGTTTGTGAGGCTGCGAGGGATCGCCTGGGTCGTTGGGTTTAGGTCGCTGCAGCCATGGCAAGGCCGCAGAAAAGTCCTGATCCCGTGGCAGGAGGCCCTACCTCACCTCCTCGCCACTGCCATTCCCACCACTGCCATCCCCCTACTCCCATTCCCCCATTGCCATTCCCCCACACACACTGCCATTGCCCCCCACTTGGCAGCACCGTGTGGCAGCAGCGATGCTCCTCCAATCCCCCGTGTGCTGCCCAGAGGAGAAGTGTAACACAGTGCAGGAGCCTCTGCGCTGGGAGGGAATGGAAAATATTTCAAGTGTTTGTAGCTCAACTCTGTTCCTTGCAATTGGGGGAGGGGAGGCAAAGAGGCTTCCAAAACTCCTCACAGACACCAATTTTACCCCAAGTGGATGAATATAACGTGCCAGGTAGAGGTCTGAGCCTGAGAGATGAGTCACTTGGGATGTCAGTGTGCACTGACATGGACTGGACTTTCTGGACTTGATGGTCTTGAAGGTCTCTTCCAACCTTGATGATTCTGTGATTCACTGCTGTGACAATTAGCTGTGGTAAGTGTAGTGGCTCAAAGGAAGGCAAAGAAACTGGTAGCCAGTTTGTGTGATCAAAGGGAGATCTCTCTGTGTCACTGCAGACATGCTGCAGGAATGTTGCTGTTGCACATGGGTGTAATTGCAGTAAATACTGTGAAAGAAATGGACTACAGTGGAGATCCTTTCAAATGGCACTGTTCTGAGAGCAGAAAACTGCACTGCTTTAATAGTATCTAGAATGAGAATTATAGGTATCATTTATGAGCGATTAGGACATTAATGTAATCAGAAGGTGCAAGCTATAAAACACAGCATTTTTCCTATCTCACAACATCCTGTATGTATACATTTCTGAATTCATTCTTACTATTTCACCATATGTCCAGACAGGCCTGTTCTGCTTTGGCATCTGAACACCTTACGCAATAATCGTGTCATGAGCTTTGGAAGTTTTGCCCACAAGCACATCTGTTTGTCAGCATCAGTGACTGAAATTATAAATGTAGCTGCTTAACAGCAAATTGAGCTACATGGAGTTCTGGTCAACAAAACCAGACTACAGTTCTAGAACTGAAAGTTTTTAATTAAAACGATGAAGCAGGACCAAGCTGCTACACATTCAATACAAAAGTGGTGGAACCAAATCATTACCCTGAAACTAAAAGTTATGCTGCTTTTGATTATGTTGTGGAAGAAGTAGCGGAAATTTGACTTTCAAAGCCTTCTGTCAAAGACTTTGATTTCTTACTTTGGGATCACCATTACTTCCTTAAAAAATTCATTCCACAAACTGATCAACCTGCAGCTTAGATATTTAGCTGCCTTATCTGAAAGGCAATGCCAGGTTTCATTGTAAGCTGCCTTCTGATTTCTAGATTGTCTACTCAAAGCCAACAAAAGTTAATTGTAATTCTCTAAACAGCTCCAAGACCATGAGGCTGAAGTGATAAAACTGTTTGCATTAGTTTGCAAATGGTTGTTTACATTTAGCTGCAGCCCAGATGCTTCCCAGACAATTACTTTGCACCCCCAATGGCAAATTAAAGACCACAGTATTCTTTTTTCCCATGTAGTTAGTAAAATTTATGCATAAATTAATGCAGATACTGCGTTTATCCAATCTCTAAACCTCCAGTTGGAGAACTGTCAAGTAAACTTTAGTTAGTCGTCTTAATAACTAGTGATTTATGTCAAGGCAAGTAGCAGTATGTCTTTACGTTGTAAATCACCAAGAAATAAGCAAGAAAATGGGAATAAAAGTTACTGCTTAATAACATGCTCTGAGTGCTCATGAACTGGAATTGGACAAAGTACTGAAATTGGTACTAATTGCACTAATTGTACAAGTTTCTCAGTAGCATTTTGGAGCAGGCTGAGAAATTACAATGTATTTCCTGATTTTTCTTTAAAATGTACCATAAACCAGGAAAAATACTAGTTATATTCAAATCTGTAGATTTTTCCATTGATTTTAATTGGATCAAGAGTGCAGCGGGGGGGGGATGCAGGTCTCTGAACCTCCTGGAGTTCTCTTCCTAACGTCTTATTTGCACAGTGTGGTTTTGTTCTGTATTGGGGAAAATAAAGTTATTTGGGTTTATGTCTGTACTTTCAGATCCTGCGAAACTCTCCTGACCTATTTATTCTTTTCTAGGTGTCAATCATCAGCTGACAACTGTCACAATGAGTTTTATTGAATATGGAGATACCATAAAGGATGGTGACACAGCTATTGTGTTCTTGGGCCACGAATCCATGTTTCCTGTGAAAGTCCAGCATGGCACTGTAACACAGACTAAGTACGGGGTCATCAGGCACTCCACAGACCTCATAGGCAAGAAGTACGGCTCCAAAGTGACCTGCAGTAAGGGAGGATGGGTGTTCATTCTTCATCCAACTCCAGAACTGTGGACCATGAATCTCCCTCACAGGACACAGATTCTGTATTCCACTGACATCTCTATAATCACCATGATGTTAGAACTGAAGCCAGGCTCCATAGTATGTGAATCAGGTAATAATTACTATGTTGAAATCCTTTATTAAGAACTAACACCAACACTTCCATGAAAAAACTGGCTTTTCTTTATATTTTGCTAAAAGGTGAGCTTTTTCCCACTCTGATACAATTTTCCGAGCCTACACATTGACTAATTTTATTTCATGTGCACGTGTTACCAGCTGCTGTTTCTTCAACAACTGATACTACCTCAGTAAGCTGGCCTCGTGTATGGGCATACCTGTGAGTATGTGTTTGATTAATTCATCTGTTTAGAACAAGTATGTACACATTTTCATTTCCCTTTTCTAAAACTGTTAAGTACTTTAAAATGTTTTTAGATACATGATTTGAATCAAAAGTTGAGCTTTGAATTTGCAGTTTCAGAGAATATAGTTGAGATGGCCTCGTGGAAGAGATTCTGATGATAGGGTGTTGAACTAATAAGGGAAATAAAGTGGCAGTGTTTATATGAAGTGATACCATGTAAGTACATATATTTCGTTTTTCTCTTCCCAAGTGTGATCTACTTGTAGCACCGCAGCTACGTGCAAAATCACTGATATAATACAATGGATGATGTGTTCTTCGCAGGGATTTGTTTTGTTTCAAAACTTGGTTTAATTTATTACAGCTTTCGTGATTTTGCTTAATTTGGAAGTAAGGAGTGAAATTTTACATAAATAGATGTTTTCCTGATTACACAGAGTTTATAATAATGTCTTCATAACTTTATTACTGCAGGCAGTATAAAGCTTGCTTGATTTGAGTGCATTTCTGTAGTTTGAAAAAAATATGAAATGAGGTAGTTTGTCCTTGTTTTTTCTGGCTGTTTCCTTTGAGAGTTTTTATGAAGCAGTTTCATACACTTCCCTTTCAAGCAGAGATATGGCAAAGGATCAGCGTGACAGGACTGTGATGCACTGTACTTACTTGCATTTAACGTTTCCTGTTCCCACTCAAGCATAATTTTGGGCAACTTTTCAGGCATAAGGACCACTTATCTCTGCCTCCAGTTGTACCCGTTAAGAACCGGTACATTGAGCTGGTTGCTGTACAGCAGCACTTGAAACAGGCAAAGCCATGTGCAGAAGCCTCTGATACTGTGAAAATGGTTGGGTCCTTTGAGTTTGTAATTTGGTTTGTAGAACAATCAGGCATTTTTAGGTTTGTCATGGGGAGTAGCTTCATCAGGGAGCTCTTCACCTCTTTCCCTCCCTGCTGTGTTTAGACAGGATGGGAAAAAAACCACAACAAATTAGTTGGGGGAGGGGGAGATTTAAATTGTTCCATGTTCCTGCTCCCTTGGAATAGTCAAATGTACAGAGCAGCACTTAAAATGTTTTCAGTAATGTCAAAGGTGCCTAGAGAGAGTGAAGATGTTAGGTCACTTGTTTATCTAAAGAGCTAAGAAATGGAAACATTTGATGATTTCCAAAAATGTTACAAGTCAAAAATCATAGCCACAAACAATTCTTTTTGCTAATGGGAAGCTGCCCCCAGGTTTATTTTAGTGCCTGTGCTATCAATGAATTGCAACTTAAGCTGTCCAGGAAAAGTGAACAGTTTTACTGCTGAAGTTGTGCTTGTCTTGCTTGAAAGGCTCACTGTTCACAAAGAAAGGAAGTACTGCATGAAATGTCTGGTTAACCTTGAAGCAAGAGATCTTACTGCAGATTTGCTTTGAATTACAAATTTTACAGGCATTGACAACTGGAGCCTCCAGTGTGGTGATGTAATCTACTTTGGTGCCATCCTAAATTAGATGGTATTCAGTGATCTAAAATCATTAGTTCTCAGTTAACCTCATGTGTGCTACACAGAACCAGCCCAGTGGCCATGAGTAGAAACAAGACAAGAAGTCTGGTCTAGCAATGACACTTGAGTTTGCTTCCTGCTGCTGCTGGTCATAGATGTGGTTTGAGCATTAATTAGCATGGAGGTATGTCTTTTTTATTATTTGAAGTTGAACTTAAACACACAGTTGCTGTATGTACTGGCAAAGCAGGCTCTGTAAAGAGGCCGAGCTCCTTTCCTCTTGTCTTACTGATTGGACTGTGGAATTGTGCCCTGCATTTACACAGTGTAAGCAAAGCAGAACTGTGGATTAGTCTCCACAACTGTGTGAAGAAAGGATCGAAAAAATAAGATGAAATACCCTCTGTGTCGTGTTGTAATGCTGTGAATACAAGTATAAATGATCTTTTGTATGTGATTATAAAAATGGAGGAGAATAACCAGAAGGCTTAATTTTATATCACTTGAATTATACGGTTTAAATTGATTAGTCGTGATTTGTCATAAAAGATACAAATGTATTAATACAGTTTTTACTATTTTTAATAATCTTTAATAAACACATAAAGAGCAAGCTTGTCAGCAGTACATGCATAATTAAAATGATCCAGACATACTCAGTCAGGGAACTCTGCATCTGCCTGATGTTTCATTACGGGGGTGTAGGAATATGATCCTTTTTCTATCTTCTGCTAATTTCTAATTTATAAAGGTATGTTAAGATTTTAAAAATGTTAGCACTAATGTTGGAGCTAAGATCTATTGAAAGCATTGCTTTCTAGTCTGAGGAATTCCCTGCTTGGATACAGTTTTTAGCAGCCTGATCTTCCCAAGAGAGCTGCTTAAATACCTGCTGTAAGTGGCCTGATAGTGTGTAAGGTTATTCTTGTCCGGTAACTCTGATCCAGTTTGTGTTCACTGCATGTGCAGCAACTGTCTAGATAAAGGAATAAGCTGAATCTTTCTTTTCTGTGTCACTCTCCAAAACTAATCTTGATGTCAGCTTCCCAGGTAAGGCTGCCTGTAATATAACAACTCCATTTGCCAGTAGATTTTGAGGGGTTTACATTTATTTTTATACTACGTTGGAACCAATATGAAACCTTTCAGATATTTTTTCCAAACAAATGTGTGGGTTTTTTTCTAGTCTCCACAGATGGAGGCTTTTTTACTGTCCTGTCTCCCTGGTGAGACCTAAACAATTGTCTGTCCTAACCCTCAGAATTACTCAGGGTTACCCTCAGAATTACACAGTACAGCACTGTGAAACCTCATTTAATCTGATAAATCTCAGAAATATTTTGGCTTTGATGGAGCATAGTATTTAGACAAAATGTAATTTAGTTAAAAGTACTTTAAGCACCATCCCAGTGATCCTTCAGCATTCAGCAAAATCAGACTCACATGAGCAAAAATGTTAATTGGATTTTTTTGTTTCCCTTCAGCTAAATCCCAAATTAAAAATTGCTAAACCCTATTCATTGCCACACAGCAACGGGTTTCTGAGCTCATGGACTGAATTTCTGAAGGCTGAGAACAGTGTTCTGGGTCCTCATGGTTTCTAAGTGAAGGGGTAATGAGAGCTGCTACCCAGCCTTACACTAGAGCCTCTCAAAAACAATTATGAAATTTTCAAACTCACAGCCAGGGTATAGATTTTGTTAAGAGTACACTCATAAAAAATTAGTGACGACTTAATGATTCATGGACACTTAATAAATCATTAATAGTTTATTGTGGAGTCCCAGCAAGTCATCTGTCTGCTTATGACTCTTCTAGACTCTTATAGACTTTTTCACAAATCCTACTCATGTCTTTACAGTTTTTGTGCCATAGGTATATGTAAATTGTTCGCAGCTCTGTCTTTAGTGTAATGTGTAGACCAAAGTTTGGAAGTATTAATTTGATTCTTGAATGTGCTCATACTAATTAATGTCTGTGTTTCATAATGTCTCCCTTATCTACCTCTTAGCAGCTGTTCAGGTTAGAGTGAGAGAATTAGAAAACCTCATCCTTGTATAGCACCTCTTGAAGAATTAGAATGGCCTCATCAACACAAATGTCACAGAGCACAGTGTTCTCTTGCCACATCAAAGTACTGAACTGGTCCAGTTCTGGGGGTCTCAACAGATGGGCTGTAAGGAGGACGTGGACCTGTTGGAGCAAGTCCAGAGGGGGCCATGAAGATGCTCAGAGGGCTGGAGCACCTCTGCTGTGAAGGCAGGCTGGGGAAGAGAAGGCTCCAGGGAGACCTGCCAGTACCCAAAAGGGCTACTAGAGAGCTGGAGAGGGAATTTTACAAGGGCAAGGAGTGATAGGACAAGGGGTAATGGGCTTTAAGCTGACAGAGGGCAGCTTTAGATGGGATATTAGGAAGAAACTCTACTGTGAGGGTGGTGAGGCACTGGCACAGGTTGCCCAGAGAAGCTGTGGATGCCCCATCCCTGGAAGTGTCGAAGCCCAGGATGAGTGGGGTATTGAGCATCCTGGTCTAGTGGAAGGTGTCCTGCCTATGGCAGGTGTGTTGGAACTAGAGAATCTTTAAGATGTCTTTCAACCCAAACCATTCTATGATTCTGTGATGATTCTATGAACCAAAAGTGATCACGTGAGGCATCACTGTGATGTATTCAGACTTGTGGCTGTCATGCAGCTGATGTGGAATGCTGTCGATACCCTAAAGCACTTGTTTCCAGACTTTCTGGGCTCACTTTCGTCTTGTTATTTCACCTGACCACCAAGTTCACTTCTCATGGATCTCTGAACTTAACCATATTATATCCATCCTGTAGAAGACTTTTGAATCTCTAAGGAAATATTAGTTCTTAAATCCTTTTGTAGGCAGTGCCAGCCTACAAGCTTCCGTACTATCCTTCTCTCAACTTCTCAGTTTGGTCACTGAGCAGTGGCCCTCTCTGACCTCCAGCCTGCTGACTAAAATTCCTGCTTCAGCGTGATGTCCACAACAGGTAGGCAGGAGAGCGAGCTAATCTTCTGTAAAGGGAACTTCTTGACTGTAAGGGAACTTTTTGATTTGCTGTTTTCTCTTTCAGCCACCAGTTCATCTCCTTGAAATTCTCTCCCTCCCTCTCTTCCTCTCTGTCCCTGCTCTTGCTGTGTTTGACCTCTGGCACCATGATTTGCGCCCTTGACTATCTTCACAGTAGGATCTTTGGGTTAATTTTCATCTGATGCTTAATATCTCTTCATATATTCATTAAAAGTAATTAATGATTTTCTGGTTACATAAACTTGTCATGTACAGTGAGCAGTCTTCCTCTGTTCAGTGTTTCTTGACAGATTTTAGTTGTGGAGTTGTTAGCTCTGTCTAAAGGTTAATTTTCCCTTGGTTTGAGGCTCCTTCCGTTCTCATGGCTGACTCATGACCCATCTTACAATTTGCTAGGCCTAAGTGGCGTAGCTAGGAGACAAACACAGCAACACTGTCATTGTTTTGTTGTATTTACTCATTTCAGAATGTGTTAGGTAGCCAAATTTTGCATCAGAAGTTCTATTAAAATGTTACTAGATATTGTAGAGACCCAGAATTAAATAACACACTGTATACTTTTCTCTTTTCGTGTTTCCAAGCAGTATGCACTTAGGAGCTTATTCAGCTTTATTCCAAAATGATTTTGCTTAGGCACTGTAAACATCTATAGATCTTAAATCACGATTTGTAGTTCCTTTTTTAAAAAGAAGATCCCCTGATGAGAAATTTCTAGGGAAGACAAGCCAAGTGCTAGCCTGCAAAGAGTAAAGGTAGTGGAACACAGAATCAGGTCACTTATGTTTATGGCATGGATGGGATTCCAGGAGATTAGACAAATATCCCTTTGCAATAAGAAAAGCAGGCAACAGAAAATAGTGTAAAAATGTACTCTGTATTCCATATCAGTCAAGCACTGTGCTCGATGCTGTGGTGACACTCATGTTTCTCTTGACGATATTCTGTGCTGAAATAGCATGTGTTATTTTTGAACAGCTCAGGTGTTGTCCACTGCAACTTTGAGAAGGTGAGAAATGATCTTAACATGGACATTGTCTCCAGGTGGCTGAGCTGTGTGGAGGCTTCTCTGTGGAAAAGCCATTACTTAAATAAGTGGAGAGTGAGAAGAACAGATCTGTTGGAGGTCAGGGCCAGGATCAAGGAGTTCGCCTGGTCAATAGTTTATTGTCTGCAATTGGAAGTATCACTGGGTGCTGAGCTAGAGTGTTTCATCTAGGTGTCCACTTGCTAGGATTGAAATCCTTCTAAAACTGCAGTGTTTTCCTTGTCTTGAGAGAGGGCAGAAACACTTCCCTGAGCTTAAATGTGTTGGAGAAGGAGAAGGGCATGTGCTTGAGCCCAAGAAGGGCTACATCAGTGCAGGGTTGTAAGCCACCTAACCCATGTGGGTTTAACAGAGGATCTTAATTCCTGCCTTTGAACTGAGATGGACCACATTCTAAGTCTGCACACTGATCCCCTGCACAGTGCCACCTCCTCAGATCTTGAGCTTGGAGTGTGGCATATTGGGGACCCTGCAGTGTCTCATTAATACCTGCAATGCAGATGTCTGCTCTTTGACTAAGATGTTTGAGATCACAGAGTAGTCAGTGTGAAAGAGCATCACGTTTTCCAAGTGAAAATTAGCAATGACACAAGTGCTCACCTAAGTGAGCTCTAAAGCAGCAGCTGCTAAGAATGTCTTTGTTTTGTCGTTGTTTTACCTTTCTTCTGTAGAATCCAGTCATTATTAATATGCAGTAGTTAGATGGGCATTGTCCTGTGATAGAGAGCAAACAGTCTTCAAGGCTATTTTTAGTGCAGGCTGTCAGAAAGGGACCATCCTGGTGTAAAAGTTATAAACTCTATTGTTCTAGCTGTCTTACATTCTCCTTCTAGGTCAAATGAGGAACATAGGCATTTCACTGCACCTGTATGCAAATGAAAATCTATTGAAGTTCTTCCAGTTCTTATCTTGCCTCTTCTGATGTAAAATAGTAATTTTTGACATTCAGTTTTTTGCTTTATTTGTATACAGGCAATTCAGCTGATATCTCTGGTTTGGTAGCATTCTAGTACAGTAGTACTCCCTGCTGCTGTCCTGACTGATTCCCCGTCATGCTAGAATACTTTCATTTCTCAAGAAAACTGGTACTGAGCTAGAACTTAGTGAAAACTGGTGCCTAAGACTCTTTATTTTGCTGAATACTGCTTTTTTTTAGTAGTGATTTCAAAATAAGCACAAACAGAAATTGAAAATTAATTGAGAAGGTGGTGGGAGGACAGAAATGTGGAACATTGCAGATTTGCAGGGAAGAAGGTGAACATAAACATTCATTTCCCCTTCTACAACATCACAGAAACATAGGGTTGAACCCCTGACCTCTGTAGACAGTGCTGATTGGGCCTTAGGGCATGTGGTGAGTCTGGACTTACGCCAGACTCTCATGTTATTAATGGATCACATCAAGTGTGCAGAACTATCAGGCACATGAGAGTAGAGGGTCATAATCATTTCACAGATCTGGGTTCAGAATCTGTCATATCTTCAAGAAGAGATTCGACAATGGTGTGTAATTCTTCACCATCTTGTTCTTTGTTTTCAGCAGTTTTGAGGGTGTTGTTACAGAGAAGGCAGGCAGCATCGTCAGAAATACTCTCATTAATGATGTTAATGTGATAGAATTTGATATGTTAAAATGTGATACATATGTATTGTTCTCATGTTTGCAGTAGCCAGTCAACAATAAATAATTCCTGGCAACCTTTTTTAACAAAAGCTCTGCTGTAATACACCTACAAGTAGTGACTTCCAGACAGTCCTGGGTTTAGTTCAGGGTTTGGCTTGGAGTTTGTAAATAAAAAAGGAGTATCAGAAAAGAAAACAAAAAATCTTAATGGGTTTTCCTATGAAGTAGGCAAATCATATCTTCTGTGGTGTTTTTAAGAGTAGATTTAAAAGGAAAGTGATTAAAAATGTAAAAGAATATGAACAAGGAAACTGGATACATGCACAAGCTGCCTCTCTCTTCTGCTTACAGCCCAGCTGTGCTGACAGGCCTTCTGTTCACTCCTCTAGATTAGCAGAGAGAGATGGAGAAAGTGTGCAGCATTACCCATTTGAGAGGTAAAATAATTAAATTCCCTCATTTTACAATAGTTCCCGGTTGTGTAATCCTCCCTTATGTCATTAAATGTAAAGGCAGAATTTCAGCCTTTAGCACTCTATGAAGAACAGTTCCCTGCTTTTGTCATTTAAAAAAAAAGTCAATGGAATGCTGTTTCTTCTCTATGCACATATATCTTTGAGTTTTCTCAGCCACATGGCTGCTGTGCTCCTTTTGACCAGGGAAAAGTTTATGTTGACATTTAAGAGCCTACAAGTGCCCTAACCAGATAGTTTTTGATGTGAGCACATGTAAGTGTGTTTTGCTTTTCATTTGCATTATTTCAATACTGGCACAAATGCCTGGATTTTCACTTTATTAAATGCATGTGTCACAGTTTCTCTCTGCCCTTGGACCTCTCTGAAGCCAGTGCTAAAATGTGTAGGTCCTTCCTCCCCCTCTAATCTGCTGTGCTAAAACTGGGGGTGGGGGTGCCAGTCTGCCCACTGGGGTCAGAGCCCTCCCAGAGGGAAGCAGAGGAGCAGAGCCGATTCCGCGGTGGCGTTGGTTGATCCGGTGGCAGACTTGGGCCCTGAGCTCTGTTTACAGTCTGCAGGTCTCCCCTTTCAGAGCTGTCAGATTAAATACACTGCCACGACAGTGTTTCTCCCCTTGTGTGACTAGAGGGCAAGAACCTTGGATCTGTCAGTGAACTTGGACTTCCTGTATGATTATGGAAAGCACTGCTCCAATTAGGCAGCTGTACCAGCCCCTGTGCCCCCTAATTAATTTCCTTTCTGAGCTGCTGTACGTCAGATTCCGTCCCTTATAACTGTTTTAAGATTTATGTTAGTTGAAAGAACTTGCTTCAGGCTGAAATTTAGCCTGAACAGTCATTGAAGATGGCTAGAAATAGATCTTTCTATAGGAGAAATGTGTTCCAAGCACAGACTTATGAATCAATAAACACAGATAATTTGCTGTGGGTTTTTGAATTGGGTTGGTTGTGGTGTTTTGAGTTTGAGGGGTTGCTCTGCTAAATGCCACTTGAGTGAGTAATTTGCAATGGGAATTGGTATATGGGTGTTTTCTTCAGTGAAAATGTTCGTTATTAGTCACTCATCTGTTTAATACTCCAATGGATCATTTAAAATAAGTTTCCTAAATTATCGAACCAAAACAAGGAAAAATCTGTGCCTTGTTAGTCCCTGTTTGTACGTGGTAAATGCAGTTACCTACAGTTTCAAGTTTGTGATGGATCTCATTACAGTAAGTTAAGATTGTGTAGGTGTGTATGTGTGTAAGTCACATGTGAAAGCAGGTGTTCGGTCAGTGTGGCTGCACGGAGCCAGCAGGCCTTAGTTTTGGATAATTTCTGTGCGAGTTGAGGATGTCTCTTAAGAGGTCTGGGCAAAGCAAACTCTATATCCTGTAGGCCATTTGTTTGCATGGATATTAATAGGCTTTTCAAGAACGGACCCTTGCCAAAATCTTTTCTTTGTTTAATGAAGTATAAGATTTTGAAAATCCGTTAAAATTTGCTCTAATCTCTTTTCACCCTAGAAGAGCCTGGTGCTTTGAAAAAAAAACCTCTCCAGTTAATTTCCCTGATTTTTTCCTGTTGCATTTACTTCCTCATGCTCTCTTGTGGCAGTTCTTAAAGCTATAGCTGACCCTTGGCATTAATTTTTTACTCCCGGGAGATAGGACAGATCCTGAGTTTTCCAGATGCAATGCTTTGAGGACCCTAAAGACTGTTTCCTAGGCCTCTTAGTCCCTCTCTCCTTGTGAAGGAAGGACTGTTCTCTTTCAATATCTGAACCACTGGTTTCTGTTCATTTGGGTTTTGAATAAGTGTTCCAAGCAGGAGGACTAATGGAGAAGACTTGTGTTCTGATGTTTGGCATTGACAAAAGGCATTTCATGAGTTGTTTGTCTTTTCTAGGTACAGGCAGTGGATCCCTCTCCCATGCTCTCATCCGGACAGTGGCTCCCACAGGACACCTGTACACGGTGGAGTTCCACCAGCAAAGGGCCGAGAAGGCGCGGGAGGAGTTTCGGGAGCACGGGGTGGATCACCTGGTCACCGTGACCAACCAGGATGTCTGCAAAAACGGGTTTGGTGTCTCAAACATTGCAGATGCAGTGTTTCTAGATATTCCATCTCCATGGGAAGCCATAGGACATGCAAAGTCAGCGTTAAAAGCTGAAGGTAACTGCATTTATCTCTTTTTGTTCAGGAAGCACCGTGCACACACACATCTCTGCCTTTGAGCCATAGGCTGGATCTGCTCCCTTCCATTGTGTGATCGCTGTTCTCAAATGTCAAAGTCTCTAGGCATTTCTAAGGCTGAAAAACCTTCAAAAGGCATCTTCAATTTACAGTGGAAGATTTGAAAGGAGAAGAACAATTTTTTCCTACAGGCCTGTGCGAGCTGCCACAATTAGCATGGGCAGTTCATAAAAAAACCCTTTGAACCTCTGTCAAGTGCATTTTGCTAGATCTGAGGTGTGTGGGAAGCAGAAGTAACAATAAATGCTGAAAGCAAATTTCTTGGGCAATTCAGTGGAAAGGTGTTTGTATAAAAGGTGTTCAGCCTCAGTTCACATCAATCATTGCAGATTTGAGCCTATTTAACAGAGCACCCCATTGGTAATGTTAAAAAAAAATGTGGTTACACTTAAATATGCTTGCCAGTTTCTGCCCTAAATCTTTGCGGTTGGAGCGAGTGAGAAGTTTGCCGTTGGATGCAGTGGGAATGGAACATAAAGGCTGTTCCAGCTTATGCCAGTTATTCTGGGATGGTGACAGCAAGTGAGAACTGCTGTTGAGGTTTTGCACCAATTTCATCACTTTATTATGAATCTTTTCCCTTTTGAAAAATAACCTTCAGTGAATAAATAATTCTTTTATCCTGGAATAAGTTTTCCCCTACTTAATGTTATACTAATGTGGACTTAATGTTACACTAGTGTGGATCTGAACTAACTTGTGCCAAATTACTTCCACCTACAAAAGTGACTTTTCTAATCAAGAGAGCATGGAGTGCTGAACAGTGCCCATGCTGGGACGTGAATTTAGTAAAATTAGATTGTGTGCCAAGGCCCAGTTCTTTGTTAAAATATGTAATCATGGGCCTGACTTCAAAGGAATTGCTAAGTCTTCTTGAAATCGCGAGATTTAAGCTTTATCTTAAAGGTCACTGAACGTGCGCTACTTGCTGAGTCAGGACCAACCCCACTGTTAGGCTACCTCAGTTACTACTGAAAATTTTCTAGAAAGCTTTCTGATCCCAATGTAATACACACTTTCGTTAAAGGTAGAGTAAGACTTGTTAGCACTCTGTACCTGCAGTGGTTACAGCTCAATTTGTATCTGCTTTCCAGTATGTCCTGGGGAAAAAAAAAAATCACTGCACTGTACGATGCCCTTCCCTGCTCAAATTATCTAATCTAGTGAGCACAACACTCAGCTGACTTCCCAGCTTAGAAGGCGCTGCATTGCGCAGACCAATTTGAATTATTTAAGTGGTGCATGCTTAGAATACTAAGCAGGGCTGCTTGAACAGTTCCAAGTTTTGAATCCTTGTATTACTACAGCCTTTAAAATCCTAGAAAAGGTATTATAGTCCCAAACTGGCCATACCATCTGGCTGTACTTTTCTGTGCTATGCTAAGTGGTTACATCTGCTTAGGCAATATAAATAATACTTCAAAATCCCACATTTTGTGTTTGTGAAGTGTCGCCATGCACTTTATGAACCACTCCAAAGGCAAAGTTGCTGATCCTTGCTGCAGTTTTTGCTGCACACAGCCACCTGTGTCTGAGATCTGGTAGTGGTCTAAGGCTCATCTTTTGGGCTTCATAGTACCTGACTGACTGGGGGGGCAATTTTTTTTTTATTTTCCATAGAAACAAAAGCTCTTTTTATTTTCCATATAAAATATAATTGATTGCAGTAGTAATATGTGCAAACTTACACACTTTTCTGTTTTATTGTAAATCATGCAGGCAGTTTTGTGATGTTTTTACTGCTGGAAAATCTAAAATATAACAGGTTATCTGTAACTGCTTCCTTTTCCCTACCACAGGCAGATAATTTAATAGTGCTCCTTTGTTTGTTTTCAAATAGTTAAAGCTCTTCTGCAGTAAGAACAGTCTGTGCACATACTGCTGTTATTCAACCCGAGGGTTAGTGCAGTGATAAAGCATCACTGGAGAAAATGAGTCCTGCCACTCTTTTCTGTCCACGCCCTCTCTCTCTCAGATCTGGACAGGGTCACATTTGAACCATTCACACTGTGGGTTTTGTTGTGATGTGCCATGCAAATATCACAGCTGTACTGCCAGACAGTGGTAATTTAGTACCTAAAGTCTCAAGATATTTTGAATGAAAGCACAGCTAAGCAAATTCAATATATAGCATTAGGTAGCCTTTAAAACCACAATACTCATGATAGAGTTCAGCTGAGACAGTATGTAAGAGAGAGTTCTTAACCTTAACAAAACCTTATCAAATCAGTATTTTCTCTCCTACTTAAGCTCAAGGTCCTGAGTAGTTGCAGCTCCTAGTAGGCTGAATGTTAATGATCCTCTTTACAGAGTACATTTATCACTCACTGTGCCTTGCAGTACGCTGTAAATACACTACTTACAGCAGCTTGGCCTCCCATTTAAAGCAGTGCCAACCTCTGAAGAGCTGAAAGAATAAAAAATGGCACAGTAGGTTTGTGACTAGAAGGTTCTTGTTCTCTGGTGATGCACTCTGCCAACGCTCAGGTTTGCATCTCAGCTGCATCCTTTTGTGGTGATTTCACCAGTCATACTTCCAGCAGAAATGCTGCTTGTAATACCTCTCAGGCACTGCTGCACTGCAGAACCTGCTTTCGTTTCCAGACCTGCACTGTTTTTCTTTTGCAGCATCTGCTGATTAATGCTTTTCTGTAATCGTAGCTGCTGTTCCCAGTATCTGACCTTGGTGGTTTTTGCAAAGTTGCTGTTAACTCCTTCAGGCTAAATTTTTAAAAATTAAGAAAATGAGAAAACTGTGAGGTAACAAAAATACCCTCAATATTCTGTAGTTCTTAAATGCCCTGAAACTTTTGACTCACAGTCATCTCACAGCTGAATACTGTAGTGCTTTGAATATCATTCTGCACCCACCTACTCTACCCTCATAAATACTGTCTATTTCTTCCCAGGCTGTGGAAAATGAGGGAGAAACTGACTGGTACAATACTTCTCATACAGATTTTAAATTTTCAGGTAGGGAGATGGAAAAATACAACCATATTTTAGGTTGAATTGGCCTCTTGCATTTTAAGTTGGTCCTTGGTGGTGTTTAACAGTCTGAGTCACAAAATTATTAAAATCACCCCTCTTTTATTGCGTTTCTTTCTATAAAGATTTTAGTCCTAAATTCAGACTTTCTGTTCCCTCTTGAGTATCATAAAGCCTCTAAATTATGAGTTTGTCAAATTGTGATCCTTGAGATATCACCTGAATCAGGCAACATGGTGCTGTCAGTTCTCCTTCCCCCCCCCCAAAACTCTGCAGGTAACGTTCCCTTTGAACATCTCTCTGTTTGGCCTCTGCATTTCCTGCCATGACAGAAGCCCTTCAGCAGTACTCTGTAGTACAGCTGGTTTTAATTTCCAAAGTCCTTTATTTGTTTTTCTTGTACACAAGGGACAGGTCTAGTTTGCATTTTTCTCCCTTGGCATAGCCGTTGATTGTTGTCCTAACCTGCCAGGTTTGGTTATCACAGAGGCCTGTATAAGAGCATAAGTAATATCTCATCCTCCCAGTCGCCTGTGGTGCAGGTAAGGCATTGCCTAGTTTAGCTAGTTTCAATTTTCATTTGGGCTTGCCTCCTTCTCCCCCTGGGATTTCAAAGAATACCATGTCCATACAGAAAGTCTCACTGGGTATTTTTCTTGAGCACCAGGGGTTATTCATGGTCCCATTTTTAAACCACCCAGGTGTGGCTTTGAGGAGCAGCTGAAATCCATGGCCATAACTCTTGCACCTGTGGTGTCTGAGTAGGGAGTACCCCAGGATGAATCACACTGAGAAGGGGGCAGTGACATCAAGGCTGATGTTGTTTGGGGTCTGGCTACCTCGGGAACACACTGGGAATGTGTTGGGGCAGGAAGAGGAGCCTGACAGTCCGGCATGCTGTCATCCTCCACCCGTGCAAGTGGTGCACTGGTTGGTATCACCACTTCTCGTGTCCCCAGGATATTATTTTGGAACACATGGATGAAGCAATAAATGCCTGCTAAAATACCAGCACCAGCCTTTGCTTGTGTAGCACCTGCTTTGATTTGAAGGAGAATTAACTCAAGGGGAGATTAAAGATCCACAAACTAACTTTAATTGCAGCATGTAGTCTCAACATTGAGAGGCCATCTGGTCTAGTGCAAAGCTGCCCCACTAGGATCCAGGACCTGGTGCTAACCCACAAAACAGCTTCCTCTGTTTTCCAAGCACTGGCTGTTTGCTGAGCCAGCCTCAGTTGTATCTCACGTGAGAGCATCACCCTGGCTTGGGTCTGTCAGGGATTGGTAGGTCAGGTGCACACAGTGGGCCTGGCCTGACGTACAAGTGACTCTCTTACATGTAGAGAGTTAAGCAGAAGGATTCCTGCATCAAAATCTACACTGTGGAAAACCAGCCAAAGCTACTGGCTTTTACACAGTTTGTAAGAGGTAGTTTGGGATTAAAGGATACTTAAAGAAAGTTGTTTGGTTTTCTTCCCCAATTTGGAGCCACCTGATTTTTAAATTTCCTTGTTGCATACTTTTTCCAGCCCATAATAATGAGCAGGAAAAAATTCCTTTTGGATGAAGCACCTACAAATGCAGAGGTTAAGGTCACATTTGCAGATAATCACATCAAGCTCCTATTAATGAGCTGGCAAGTGATTTGGAGAAAATTCTCTTTTCTGAATCGAGAAATATCCTTTAATTTCTTTCAGCAGCCAAATCCTCTAATTTCACTTGTCAGGGAAGCTACATCAAATCGCCCACGAGCACACGCACTTAAAGGACATTCTGTCCCCTTTTACAGAGGCAATATTTTTAGTGTCCTACTAGCACAGAGTAAATGCCACAGTGATGCTGCTCAGTGACTCTCCTGCCTCGCCCCTACACAATGATAATGCCTGTGTGATTTTTTTCTTCCTTGAGATCTTTGTAACATAATCTTCCAATTATGACAGTGCAGCCAAGTCCCAAAACCCAGAGCTATGTTCTTTTACCAGAGGTAAAAATGCTGTGTTGTATTCTTTACATCACAGAATCATTTCTAAAATTACTGGCCCTTTTCCCTGAAACTTAATGGTGCTGCTCTACATGTGTTCTTTTTGCATCTCCTGAATAATACTGGAATGATGAAAAAACTGCAGCGTGTGTGACATATAACCTACAGAAGAGCACACTGCTTGGACACGTTTTCTGTATCATAAGCATGCACTGGAGTTCTTGTTAACTGGGTAGCACTGAGATTTTCCATTCTTGAAACCAAGTACAGTTATTAGCTCAATAGAACTGGTAGAGTTGTTAGTCCTTCCTCAGACAGGCCAGAAACAAAATTGTTTGTTGGAGTTGCACAGGAATATTCTGGGAACTGTCCTTGAAGAAGAAGCAATTTCCGAGGCACTGGCCTCTTGTAGAGTGCAATGGTGTGTCCCTCGATTACCAGCTAGATCCTGTCTGTTAAAATGTACAGTGCTATGTGGATTAAAATCTTCTCTTTAATTTGCCCCTTCCCTTAAGCTCTCTTTTCTACTCATTGCAGTCTGAATCGTACTTCAGTTTTCGTATCCTCTCGACCCTGTTGCTGGTTACAGTGGCTGCCAGGACTGTGTGGGCTTGTTCCAGCCTATGGATTTGGGACATTTAACCTCTCCATTAAATGCTTCAAACTAACTCGCTCCCTGTAAAATTGAAGGTAGAAAAAAACTTGAGTCTTTCATACAGTCTCATTATTCTCTTCTCCTCAACTGTAGCACTTGTCAGATGCATTATACATGAATAAACACATTTTTAGACAGCTCTTCAGATCAAAAAGCTCACACAGCTTCCCAATGTGAACAGGATTAATCTCTCATAATTACTATATCAATTTATGATGACACATAGATCTCATTAACCAAATTTAGGAACGGTAGCTCTCCTAAAAGGAGATCTCTGAAAGAACATAAATGCAATTTGTACAATAAAGTTGCCGTTCAGATGTTTTCAGTGCTCACTAGTCCAGTCCACCCCCTTGTGATCCACAGACAGAGCAGGGTGCCCCAGTGAGCCAGTGGAGAGGGAGGGAGTACATCTTTTCTTCATTCACTAAGGAATCCTTGGCATGGCAAGACAAAGCAATGCATATTCAAGTCCTTTAAGCTCTAAAAGCCTCTTGGTGTCTAAAGGACAAGAGGGCTCTCAAAGAATCTGAGAACTGTGAATGCTGAAATCTAGATTTATATCTGTTTGGTGATTGTGACAGAAGGGGTGTTGCCTAGCTGGTAGTCCTGGGGGTACAGAGGGCAGCCCACAGTGTAGAGAATTCAGAAGCATCTGGCCTATTGAAGATGACAGTGTCTCTGCTCCTAGGACAGATGAGCATGTCCTTCTGCATGCTGGTTTTCTACTTTTTTTTCCTGGTCTAAACACACCATAGCAATTGAAACTTCCCAAATGTTTCTATTTTAGACAACCTCTCACAGTCTGGAACTGCAGTTTCATTTTTGTCTTCCAACCTTCTGCTAATTGTAGCTTTCCAGTCTTCTCTTAATATCTGCTTAATCAAACAAATCCAGCCTGCAAGTCAGATCTGGCCTACCTGATGGTGTGTACAGGAAAAAGCAGAGGGGACCCCTCTCCCACTTGTTAGGATCTGTAGGGATAGATGCTTGGTGAGTTTGCTTCTGAGCTATTTGTAGGTATATTTATTTGGAGGGGATGTATAAAAATATCCAAAACAATAGGTATGGAAGGAGAAAAAACAAAATTGGCAGAACTACTAAAACCCACTGGATGGTCTCAGTTACATGGAATACCAGCAGTTTCACTGTTTTCTCACTCTTCATACCTGAGAAGCTTCCAGCAGCGCAGTAAGTCAAGTAACGTTATTTTTTGCACTTCCCCTCTGGATATTGGCTATTGCAAGCAAGAGCTTTCTTCCCAACCAAGCAGCTTGGAGGCCTGTTTTCTGTAACCCTACTTCCCCCAGCAGTTGGGAGGAGGCAGGCTGATAAATCTTCACCAAGTTTGGTGTTGACAGTGCTGTGCTCAGCTGACCACCCCGAGGCACAAGTACGGTGCTCTGCCTTTAATTGAAGCCTTGACAAGAACTGTAGGTGGCTTTGCAGCTTGTATGGCAACAGCTGTGTGCAGGCTTCTGAGTTTTTGACTGTAAATCTAGAGCATGTGAATTCAAAAGCCTAAACATATCTTAAACCCCTTGGAGTCAGAATAAATAAGAACAGACTTATTGTAAATGTGAATATAATTCGCTTTTTTATTGCAATATAAAACACCAAAACCAAAAAGCCTGAATGAAATAGTAGTAAATCTCTGGTCGCTCTGCAAATTCTTGCTTTGCAGACAAAGAGTAATTGTGATCTGACATTTAGCTAAGTTAGACATTTGCTCAATTCCCTACACAATAAGAATATAAAATCTTTTCTTTATAACAAATGTGCTTCATAGTAGCTTTCTAATTATGTAACAGAATTTTTTTTCTTAGCTTTTCTGTTTTACATCTACAGACATGGTAGAAGTGTGTAGTGCTTTGGCCAGAAAAGATTAGCTGTCTGGTTGGGAAACATTTTGGTACTGCTGGCCATCCTGATGAACACACAAATCTAATTTCATGGGAGCTAACGGACTGGGTGTGCAATTAAATCAGCATCCACAGACTTGATTAATACAGTCACATACAACCATTAATTTTGCAGGTGATTATTAGATTTGAGTTTTAATTGTCACTCCAGGGAATTAATTGTCCAGGGTACTTTGTTCTGAAGATCCATGGTAAGAACCCCTTGCTGCGGAGACTTTATTTCAGGACTAAAATTAAATCCTACTTAGTGTATGGTGGATTAATGGTTGTGGAAAGTGTTCTTCCCCAGGCAGTACCCAGCACATCATTGCTGCACAGTAACTAGAGTGCTACAGTGATGCTTTCAGACCTGATGCTTTCTTTTTTTAGAGATCTGACTTGAGAAATGAAAAAGGAAAAAAAAAGGGGAGTTTGAGATAAAGCAGGCTTCATATAGTCCCAGCATAGCCTCTATTTTTAGCAGGATGCTTTGCTCTGACTTGCACGGATTCTTTAACTACTTAGACAACTGGTGTTGGAAAGCTTGACTGGATGAGCCTGGGAGAGGACTGGGAGGGAATGCAAATCAGGTCAGGAGGCATTTTCACCTAGTTGTAATAAGTAAAACCATAGCTGAAGCTGCATTGCCCAGTGTTCCTTCCTCCTGCACAAAAGCTTTTCAGGAAGGGCAATTGCCTTGGGGGACACTGTGTCCTGGGTGAAAGCACATGCCCTGGCTTTATGGCAGACAGTGTCCTTATAATTCTTTGATCTGATTTGGCTGTGGCTTTTTGGAGTAAATCTGAATCATTCTATTCTCAGCTGCTAAGGTGACATTGTAGCACTTAGAAAGGTGTAAGGGGCCTATTAATACTCTGTATTTAGAATCAAAAATCAGAACTGTGTACAGACAAGGAGACAAGTGTTAAGTTTGTCACTTAAAAGTCCTATCCTAGAGTTTTACAGCATTTGCTGTAAGCCTGCCCGATGTGATATCCAGTAAGCTTTAATGCTCAGGAGACAGGCTAGTCAGCTTGACTAAAAGGGTAAAGCCTTAACAGCACTCCATCTATGGCCTGGAGAGATCACTTTATTCTGCACACGCATACCATCGTTCCCAAATAAACACAGCCGCTTTTGTCAGGGGGTGTGTGCACGCGCGCTTGTACTCGAATGAAGGCAGCGCTGTACAGTGTGTGGAGAATGACTTCTGGCTTTGTGTACGTGCCAGCTTCACTTTGGTGCCTCAGTCCAGAACTGTGGATGGTGATTCCAAAGGATTCCACTGCTCTAAAGGGATCAATTTTTAACGGTTTTACTGTGAACAAATGTGGTGGGCTACATTGGATGCGGGAGATGAATGAACTTGCTGTTGTGGTTTTTAAAGGGTCTGAAGCGGCTTGTGGGGTCGTCCGTGTTTGATTTTGTGCTGACACTTTAAACATGCAGAGTTGCCTCATGGAGTTTTTCTTGAGGAATGTTTTCACTTTTCTGTATAACAGTAATTCTATGGGCATCTGGGAGACATTGAAAAAAGATTAAAAGTGCGTAGTTTTTGGTTTTTCCCCTCTTTTCCACCACCTGTCTTATTTTGCAGGTGGCCGCATCTGCTCCTTCTCCCCCTGCATCGAACAAGTTCAAAGGACCTGCCTAGCCATGGAAGAATATGGTTTTACAGAGATTAACACCTTGGAAATTCTGCTCCGGGTGTACAATGTAAGGACAATTAGCTTGCAAATCCCTGACCTTGGAAAAGCAGCTGAGGATAATTCTGGCACTGGCTTTGACAGCAGCAACCCATCAAACCAAGGTAGCCCGGGTGCTAATCTGCAAGGGACTGTGCAGTTCAAAAGTGGCGTGCCACTGAGGGAGATGGTGGGGCACACTGGGTACCTGACCTTTGCCACCAAGAGCCTGGTTTAGTACAAGCTGAGTTTGTGCCGTCTGGAGTGGGTTCCGTGTGCGTTCTGTTTTCATGGCGCTTTTCTGTAAGGCATCCAAATTTTTACTTGTCAGGGAATTCCATATATAGTCAGATTTAGTTGGAATATGCTTTGTTTAAATAGCACACAAGCATTAACCAGAGCAGCATCAAGGGAATGTTGAAATTCTGGAATGGTGCTCCACTTGCTGTCAGAAAGAAGATAAATTAATAGTGAATGGCCATTCAATGGAATGAGCAGAATAAAGATTTCTTCCGATAAGGAAGCAAAACAAACAACATAAAAATTGCAAAGAAGTTGGATTTTTTCCTCCTTTTTTTCTGAATTACTTTCCAAGGTTTATGGGGTTTATTTTTTCCTAGCACCACTAGACATTTTGTTTTTTTAACTTTTCTAGTGTCCGTGTTCCTCTTAGAAATGTGAAAGTGCCTACTTCCTCCATTTTAGATAAGAAATATACAAGATTACAGGGTTGCCAACACAACTGTTCCTTGGAATAGTGTTCCAGAGGATTATTGGCAGCGCTCAGGAACACAACCTCTTACTCCATTCCAGACTGGCATTTGCAAATCATTTCAATTACACAGAGGTCAAAGAAGTGTGGTAATTAATGGATTTGGTTTAAATTGGTATATTGTGCTCATCAGTTTGTAGTAGAAATTTGAACCTGGATCCATACTTCACTTTCTAATGGAACATCCACTTTTATAGTTGATGAATCCACTGTGAAAATTCACTGAACAGCTGGTTAATATTATCTGAACACCTCTTTGTAAGTGGCTGAGGTTCCATTTGTTTGATGGTTTATTTGCATTATGGTGTATTGTTTTCCTGCAGCTGAATGACAGAAAGATTGCTTTTGGCAGGATTTCTGTCTCCAAATTGCATCAATAATGCATACTTAGTAAAATCCTCAACCAGCCTTATTAATTAAGTTTTCAGATCATTTACTCTTTGGTCTTCCATACAGAGCTGGTGGGTGTGATGAACTGTTTGAATGCTGGATTACATTTTGTATTTATAGATTAAAATAATTATGCAAATTTATTAAGTTCCTTCTTTGTTTTATTTTTAAAAGTAAAGTCGCAGATATTTCTATTCCAGCCACTAGTGCTGTCACTCAAAGTGTTTAGCTGTGCTTTGCCTTCGGTACCTGAACATATTGATTGCCGTGTAAGAGAAACAGCCATTCATAAACTGCTGCCTGAACATTTAACCTGATATCCCTCCCCCATTCTTGACAAAAATAAACAAAGCTAAGCTTTTAACATGTTATAGCAGAACGCTAATCCATAACGGTTTAAAGAAAGCTCAACCGATCACGACAGCAAAGATAAACTGCTGAGCAGATTAAAGGCAGAAAGCAATTCTGTTGAGCTAAATCAGTTATGTAAGTTGGCCTACAACTGCAACATTTCTCCCTAAATTATGTGAAAGTTCTCTTTCTGCCTCTGCTAATGTTCTCCAGGCACATGCAGTAAACTGCTAACACTGTGTATGGGGTTTGGTGGCTGTGTTATAATGACATGTGTTACATATGCACATGTTTGTGTGTGCTGAAATCACCACAGGAGCATGGCTGAGGTACTGACAGACACCAGAAGAGAGGATGGAGAAATACAACCTTAATGCCACAAGGCTGTTCTTAACTTTCTTCAGGGTGATCCTCATTCACTAACAAGCAGGATCCCCAAGCTTCTCCAGGGATAATTCCAGCCCTGAACTTGATTCTTTTTTCCTGACAGACCTTATTTTAAAATAATGTAACATTTAAACAGGATTAAAAAGGAGCAAAGTCACGTTTCTGTCCTACAAATAGACATGGAATGGAAATACCAATGTGTCTTCATGGAGTTTGAAACAAGGCTGATGGCTTTTTCCCTACAAAGCCCAATTCAAAACCCCTTGAAATAAACCATTGACTTTGCTTGGTCCCTTATTGATTTGATCTCTGCTGAGGAAGGGCAAGCATTGCGTAAGAGGAGAAGGATTTCATTTCTGCCTTTGCAATATTAAAAAGGCTTCTGTGTTTTTGTTGCCGATGGCAGCCATGGCCAGCAGCTCAGCACCGCTTCCTGCTGTTGGTTTGCTGTCAGGGTCACAGGGAGGATCCCACACTGTCCAGCGTGGGTTGTACTGTGCTGCCAGACCCCCCACTGTTTAATGCTGCTTATGGTCACCTGTGTTCTGTATTCTGGCCACATTCCCTCCTAACAGTGGTAAATCAGAAACGTGGGTCTTTCCTGCCATGCTTCAGGAAATGTGCCTGGGCCACACTTCCAGAGACTCATTTCTCCTTTTAATACATTTTGATCTTCTCCAGCCTGGAACGAAACACCTCTTCTTCCTGCCCTGACACAGTTCAGTTGGCAGGTTGCACATTTTCACTGCTGCTGTGCACTTGGATCCCTCAGTCCTTGTGGACAAGCACCAGGACACAGCTCTGCCTGACAGCCAGGTCCCACTGTGCTCCGTGCCCTGGAAGCTGGCATGGAGAGCAGTCTGTGACACCTTGCAGGCTGCAAGGCACACAGCAGTGACTAAGAAGAGGCTTGTGAAACACTCAGAGCTCTGCTGCTGTTTTTACCTGTGCTTTAATTAAAGCATCACAGATCTGTATCTCACTGTGGTTGTTTCCTGCCTACCTGCTAGCACAACAGTCTTCTCTGAAGAAGATCATAAATCCTGCTTCAGAACCTTAAAGGGATAAAGTAGCAAAAATGCCAAGAACTCACTCTTCTGCCTTATTTCTTGCTCTGCCTTCTCCTTAGGTACTTTGGGATACGTGATGGTGAGGAGATGGTTCTTCCTGGGAAGTGTTCCAGAGATGAGGGTTCTGGTTCACGCTCACTCCCTTGAGAGCACATCTGTGCTCCATTAGTCCTGGTGAACGGGATGAGTGCGGAAGTCATGGTGACCTAGAGAGGAGGGGGGCCCAGAGATGCAGCGATGTCTTTGTGAATACGGGTGCTCATGAAGCAGGGTCTGCATCATTCAGGTGCAGGAGTGCGCTGAGCAGCCTGTGTGTCCTTGCCTTACCAGGTTCTTTCTGGACAGAGCCTGGAGAACTGTGCCCTCCTGAGTGTTTGGTGCTCCCAGCTCACCTCTGTGCCAGTGGGAGCAGTGCAGGCTCAGAGAATGATGATTGGGAAATGGCTGGGCTCTCGGAGGCCGTGGCTGGGCTCCGTCTTGGCTTCTGTTTGCACAAGTATGAGAGAGGCACGATAAGAGCAAAGTGGGAGAGTCAGCATTGCATAACCATGATGTTACAGCAAAGGTACGTGCAGCTGTGACCAGTCAAAGGGGGTTGTTCTAGTACCAGAAAGTTCCATCTGTGTCACCATGAGGGAAAGCATTTACATGCTGCTTGGCCTCTCAAGTGCTCCTGAGGAATTATGTTGTTCAGATGCCAAAAGAGGGGAGCCAGACTGTGTTATTTCCTTTCTCCCTACGTCACAGCTTCTAAACAGGAATGAATCTGCATCAGTATCAACACAGGGAACAGAGAAACCTTGAATTAATTAGTGAAATAAAAATAATCCTCACTGGTATCCAGCCCTTTACCTGCATATCTCACCCAGGAGCTCCGTGTCCTTTTGCAGCTGTTCAGGACAGGCTGTTCTCCTCTGCCACAGGGCCACAGCTTTAAACTCTGAGGTGAGCTGGCTGATATGCTGATAGAAACAAACACAAAAGCCAGCTGGGAACACTGTCCTGTGGGCATCTCACTCTACCTGCGTGTTTCTACCTGCCTGCTAAGGTCAATCACCCACAACTGGGCTTCCCTTGCCATGAGTGGTCCCTTCCCATCATCTCCCTGCCCCTGCCCTCAGTCCCAGAGCCGACAGCTGTCCTGCTGCCATGCACCAGCTCTTCCTGCTGCTCCCAGCATCACAGGCTTGGGTTGTACAGCCAGATTTTGGGCAGAGGCAAGTGGTTTTCTCTTCTCTTTAGTGGAGTGCAGGAGAAGGGCTCTGTTTTGCCGCCCCATCAGCCCTGCAGGTGCAGCTGCTGTGAGGTGCTGAGGGGAGAAGCACCTGAGTGCTCCTGTGGCACCCTGTGGAGAGCAGTGATGCTACCATGGCACAGCACAGTAGCCTGAAGACCTGAGCCTGAAGTTAATTCGGTGGAGGCTGAGTGGGTTTATGCTAAATACCGTATTCCTTTATAGTTGTTAAGAGGGCAGTTTATGTGAACGGTTCCAGTGGAGCTGTGGAGATCTCCCCAGGGGCCCGATATGTCAGAGGATATGTCAGGATATGCAGGATATGTCAGAGGCCAGGACCGAGTGAATTCACAGCTTCTGCTCCCAGAGGTGCAAACTGAGCAGTCAAAGATATGTAAGTAGAAGAAGGAGCTTTTTCCATCTTTTCCTGAATTCTGATCCTGATTCAGCATGAAGCCCATGTGCATGACTAGGTCTAATCAGCTAAGAGAAACTGTTGCTTTAGCAACCTTCCTTTGTATTAGACACCGTGCAGGAAGGGGAAGTCTACAGGGGGATTTTCCTCTCCCTCATGTTGCTTTGGGGGAGCTGTAGTCCCCCCTCCTTCCTCAAGTCAAAAATACATTTGCAGTAGTTACCCATAACACGTGTCTGCAACTCAGCATGGCTGGTCCCTGGGCATGGGGAATGAAAATTTATGATGCCAAAATATTCTGAGACAGAATTTATTTTATTCCACTTCAGGGGTGAGGAAGATGATGATGTAGGCTCTGTAATACTTGTTAACTGGTCCCCCATGCCCTTAGAAATTGTCCATAAAGCACTATTTCAGAATAATTTTAAAAAATCAAAAGCCACCTATTTGTAGGAATCAGCTGGATGTGAGAACCAAATCTGCTTGGAGGAATAAGGGAAAGAAGCAGTAGCAAGGCAGAAGATGATTTCTGGGAGAAGGCTCTTCCTTTCTGGACTTTTGCAGTGAAGAGGCAATTCCCTGGGAAATTCCATCTTCTCCCCTGGAAAGCCATGGATCAGAAATGCTCATTAGTGAGGATGTTGGTTCAATGAGGCTGTTTTAACAAAGCATGTAGGGTGGGATCTACAACTGATGGAGTGGAAAGGAGGGAGGGAGAGGAAAAGAAGTCTACAGTCAGCTCAGCCTGTTGGATTACACGTACGTCATGTCACACTTTGTTATGGGAGTCACAGTATGGTCTAAATTATCTTAGCAAAATACACAATTTAGACAACAAAGAATCACCCACTTCAATACACTACTGGGCAAGAGCATGGAAAAAGAAAGAGATTTGATTGCCTCTGTTGAAAAATCAGGTTTAACTAAGAAACTAGCTGCAGCTTCTGCATGTTCTCTTCATGTGTTTTTGTGTCCTCTGTCAGATAAGGTGGAAACATTTAAGAAAATGGATAATACTTAAGTGAAATATAAAACCCACAAGCACACAAATCTTCCCAGACAGAAGGTTGACTTCCACTTTTTACCACCCAGTGCTCCCAGGAGGATCCTTTATTGTCAACATTTCCTCACTGATCTTAAGAGCACTTTAAAGAGAGAGGAAAGTGCCCTTTTTCAGTGGAGAGAACAAATATTCATGTGGCTGCGGCTGATTACCAGCCTGTGGACACACATCAGAGCAAGGACGGCAGCATTGGACTCCTTAAGGGTTTTTATATGGATTGCAAATGGGACTGTGTCCCCTCTGAAGGGGTTGCTGGTGTTACACCCAGCCCCTGTGCTCTGCTGGCATTAGAGCAGCACCAAGAGGCCCAGGTGGGCTGAGCGCTGTGCATGAAACCTGTCACAGCTGAGCAAGCCACCAGGAAATCAGATGTGGTGTGACCTGCACACAACTGCCCAGGGCTTCCTCCCGGCCTCGGGAACAGCCTGGGTCTGGAGCATTATCCTTTGGAGCATTTTCTGCCTCCAAGGGAATATGCAGGGCTCGGTGTTTCCTTCAGACTAAGTGCCTTTGCACCTGCCAGCTCCTCCTGTACCTCTTCTGACAGAGGTGTAGTCTGAGAGTCAAGGTGCAGCGTGTTTCCCTAGAAGAAAGTGCAATTCTTCTGCATAATAAATCTCCAT